CCCCTCCCCCCCAGGCCGACGCGGAAACGCCCGGCTTCCCCCGGCTTCCCGGCCCGGCCGGGGGCCCCTGCTCTCCCCCTGTCTGGGTCCCCCCTGGGCGGGGCAGGGCCAGCCGGGGAGGGGGCGCGGGGCCTTTGTTAGGGAGCCAGGCCCCAGCCCCCGGGACAATAGAGACACCCTCCCGGACTCCTCTCCCGGGCCGTCCGGGGCTGTCGGCGGGTGGGGTAGAAGAGGGGCCGGGACGCGTCCCACTTGCCCACTCTCTAGGGGTCGGTCTGTCCCGGACCGGCGCCGGCCTCCGGCGGCTCGACTCTCCTCCCCCCAGTCGGTATGATGCAGCAGCAGTGCCGCAGGGACGGGGGAAGAGCCGAGGCCCGGCCTCCTACCCTCCCCAGTGCCCCTGGCTCATTTGTCAGTCCCCACCTCACTCTAGGCCGGCTGCTCCTTAAACTCGTACCCACCGTTCAGAGGGGCCCCGGACTGTGGGCACTGTTTCTAAATCCTTTGGTGGGGATTCCTGGACTTTGGAGCTCTTGGAGAGACTTCCGGGCAGGTCCTGAGGGAGGGAGGGTGGTTATCTAAAAGAAGCACAGGTAAGGGGAGTGCCCACTCCTGGCATGCCATCCCACCGGGCTCTACCCCCACTTGCTCATGGTGACTAGAAATGTCCCTTTAGCTCTAGGTTTCGTGGGCTCTGCTCCCCTCCTGTAGTGGCAGGCCTATTACAAGGGAAGACAGTGGGGTGAAGGTTGTAGGGTCTTAGGGCCATTTCTACTTCTGGTAGCAGTACCCCCCCAAGTGGACATCCTGGCTGAAAGCAGAGGTGACTCTGAGGAGAGCCTAGGGAAGGGGGGGCTGTATTTAGGAGTCTGTGCAGTTCTTTGCCACACCCTATGGGGCCTTGGAGTTCCTTCTCCTCCCCCTGCTGCATTGCACCATGGGTATCAAAGAGGGGTTTGAGTTTTGGGGACCTGGGGCGAACTGCTGCCTCCTATAGACCCAGACTCTGATTGGCAGTAGAGTCCAGGGCCTGAGTTAAGGCCTGGGAAAGACTAGGCCATCTTTGGGTTTCAGGCCCTGAAGGACCATCCAGACTTAGTGAGCCTAGGCCTTAGGGGGGGTATATTCTGATGTCAGGATTAAGCTCTGGGTAGTGAGGTATGGAGGGGAGGTGATAATGTTTAGAGGTGCCTTGGACTCATACCAACACCCCCACCCCCATGTGTGCAGCCGTGTTGCCGCCCGCTGTGCTATGAGCAGTCAGAGCGCCGTCTCCACAAGAGTTTACAAATGAAAATGGAGGAAATGTCTTTGTCTGGCCTGGATAACAGCAAACTAGAGGTGAGGGCTCCCCCACGTGTGCCTCTAGTTCTTTCTCTTGATGTCTCTATGTCGTCGTATCTGGCATCCACACCAAAGAGGAATTTGGGTAGTCAGCCTTGTTCCTTAAAGGGAGTAGGGCCAGCTGAAAAGGCCCAAGGATCCAGAAGAAGAAAGAAGGCAAAGTCAAGATGGGGGAAATGGCAAAGAAAGCATTATTTTTGGCCAGGGTCAATTGGCAGGAGATTTGGTTGGTGAGAGTTGCTTTCAGTCCACGGGGCCGTGACTCTTGTGACTATGGATGTTCTCCCCTACACCCAGGCCATCGCTCAGGAGATATACGCTGACCTGGTCGAGGATTCTTGTTTGGGATTCTGCTTTGAGGTACACCGGGCTGTCAAGTGTGGCTACTTCTTCCTGGACGACACGGATCCTGATAGCATGAAGGATTTTGGTGAGCTTCAGGGTTGAAGGAGAGCAGTCTAGCCCTGCCCTAGTAGTGCTTGGAGGTTCCTCCTCTGGAAATCACATCACATGTAGAGCCTGGAGCTCCTGTGAGCTTAGGCAGGGAGTTGGAAGAGGCCATGGGTGGGAATGAGGTGAGGGTCTCCTTCCTGCCCTTATCGCCACGCCTCTCCTGTCCCCAGAGATCGTGGACCAGCCGGGGTTGGACATCTTTGGACAGGTTTTCAACCAGTGGAAGAGCAAGGAGTGTGTTTGCCCCAATTGCAGTCGCAGCATTGCCGCTTCCCGTTTTGCTCCCCATCTGGAGAAGTGCCTAGGAATGGGTCGGAACAGCAGCCGAATCGCCAACCGCCGGTAAGGCTTTTCCCCCTGCTAACATCAGAGCTGCTCATCTTTTGCATCTTGTAACATGTTGTAGTCCTCTGCAGGCATTTATAGGGTACTGAGGGTGGATTGTGCTTGGCCCCAGATTTTCCACTCTATGGGGACAAGAGAGAGGTGGCAGCGTTGGCCCTTTCTCTTTCTTACTCTTGTCAGGATTGCCAATAGCAACAGTATGAACAAGTCTGAGAGTGACCAAGAAGATAATGACGACATCAATGACAACGACTGGTCCTATGGCTCAGAGAAGAAAGGTGTTTGGGGACCTGGGGAAACCTGGGGGACACTGGGGTGAGGTGGGCCAGTGGGAATTGGGTATGTAACGATCGCAAGTTGTTACTTTGAACGAGGGTGGAGAACATAGTTTTGTACTTTTCTTTCGGTGCCCTTAGATTGGGAACTTAAAGTGACCCTGCCCTTTATCCTTTTGTCCTACACAGCCAAGAAGAGAAAATCAGACAAGGTGAGAGCCGGGGCAAGCATGAGGGAAATTTGGGCGAAGGACAGATACCCTCCCCTTTGGGCAGGGAGTCCTCGGGTGTCTTGACTCAAGTCTGAGGTCATTGGGTGCCTCTGGGTTCTGGGATAAGGGTATCTGTGGTGGGCAGGAGGGCAGCAGAGGCCTTGGGAGGATGGGAGTGGATATGGGTAGAAAGAGAAGGAATTTGAGGATGTTTCTTTGTCAAATCTTTTTTCCTTCCCTGGGTTCTCGGCTCCCCCTTATCGTTACCCTTTCCCCAAAGCTATGGTATCTCCCATTCCAGAACCCCAATTCCCCTCGAAGATCCAAGTCTTTAAAACACAAAAATGGTAAGTGGGGCTGGAATAACATTAGTGATTCTAGCTCTGTTTTCTGGGACTCATTGCTGGAGGGTGGAGGTGGGAGGCTTGGAAGACGGGGATATCGAGGGAGGGCCTGTGATCCTTCTGTCACCCCCACTTCCTTTCTGGTTATTTTCAGGGTTCTCTGTCTGTACCTCTGCATCAAACACCCTTCCCCTTCTTTTTTCTTCTTCAGGGGAACTTAGCAATTCGGATCCTTTTAAGGTGAGTGAGCAGGGCTGTCCTTAGGTTCCTTCTGATTTTCCCTGTTGTGGGTTGGGCAGGATTTAGACAAGTAGGGATCAGAATGCTGACAGCCAGAAGTACTCAATGGGGTATTTAGATCTTGCATATTTATGTTCTTTCTGGGCCCTAGCCCCTCACCATGTGCAGGTGAGATGGAAGGCATCATTGAAAAACTGGCTGGGATATCTTAAGGCCTCCTCACTTAGAAAGGGTTGAGAGGATCTGGTTCTCCACCCCATCCCCACCCTCCTTTCTTTGGCTTCTCCTTCCCTAACTTGTACCTCTGGTTCTCCCCCAGTATAACAGCTCAACTGGGATCAGCTATGAGACCCTGGGACCTGAGGAGCTGCGTAGCCTGCTCACCACGGTAAGGGACCGGGGGACGGGAGGCCTTTAGGAGTGGGCTGAAGCCACAGGAAGTCGTCAGGGCCCTGGAGGAGACTGGGGACAGCAATCAGGGCCATATAGTTCTCTCTTTGGAATTAGGTTTCCTGGCCAATGGTGGTCTGGGACTGTCTGCTCTGGACACCTTGGGGCCATTTCTGTTTGTGCAATCTAGCATTTATACAGAAGAAAACACCTAATGTCTAGAGTAGGTTCCCCTCCATCCCTCCTTTCAGCTTATATTCCTCTTCCAGCGATGTGGGGTGATTTCTGAACACACCAAGAAGATGTGCACAAGGTGAGCTCAGAACCGAGAAAGGGGCCCAGGGGGCCCTCCTGCACACTCACCCCTGGGCATGGGTCGGGAGTACTCCTGGACTTGAGCAGTGGGACTCTCACCCTTCCCCTCCCTTCCTCTAATGGTCAGGCCTTAGGCTACAATCTGGCTGCTCTCCGTTCATCCCTTCCCTATTGTTGTCCATCCCTCCCGCCTCTGCTGAGGGAAGGGGCTTCACCTGAGTTCCTTAGGCCCTTCCTGCCTTGTCAGAGTCTGATCATTCTCTCCCCACCAGGTCCCTGCGCTGCCCCCAGCACACGGATGAGCAGCGGCGAGCCGTGCGGATTTACTTCCTCGGACCCTCCGCGTAAGTGACCCTCCAAGAAGGGTGGTAGGTTGTGAAAGGTTAGGATAATGATTGGTATTTGTAAAGCCCTTCTCTGGCCCATCTCCTTTCCAGCGTCCTGCCAGAGGTTGAGAGTTCCCTGGATAATGACAGCTTTGACATGACTGACAGCCAGACCCTGATCAGCCGGCTTCAGTGGGATGGCTCCTCTGATCTCTCACCCTCTGATTCAGGCTCCTCCAAGACGAGTGAGAATCAGGGATGGGGTCTAGGTAGGTGATCCAGCTGGGCCCAGAGCAAAGGAGTGGGGGCACCTTTTGTTCTCCTACCGCACCTTGCCCTCATCCCTTGTGCCTCTTTCTGTTTAGGTACCAACAGCTCCGAGTCACGGAAAACCAAGAAAAAGAAATCCCATCTGAGCCTGGTAGGGACTGCCTCCGGCCTGGGCTCTAACAAGAAGAAAAAGCCAAAGCCACCGGCACCCCCTACGCCCAGCATCTATGATGACATCAACTGACTTGGGTGCAAGGGATAGCCTTTGGCTAAGCAGAGCCCTCTCTCCCGACCCCCACCCAGGTGGCATAGCCTGGCAAATGGACGGCTGCTGGGGGCCTGGGCTTGGGAAGCTTGGTGGGCCAGGCAGGCAGAGGATCCAATTATGTGCCCCTGGGGGGTGTCAGGGTCCTCTGCGATGGAGTACAACCCCTTGGCATGCAGGACTCAGACCTGGACATGTTATGCCTTGGACATAAGTTTGGTGGGGAGGCGGTTTTCATATTTATTCTGTGAGTTACTGGATGTCCAGCTAGGCCAGGGGCCTGACCTGGGCACTCTGCCAGGGCACTGCCTGCCCCCCACCCCAGGAACTGGACTAAGCCCTGCCAAGGAGCATCGTGGCTACCTGGGAGGCTATGGGTTCGAAGCTGAGCCTGGAGGGGCCCTCCCCCAGCTGCCCTCAGCAATGTGAATGGGTCCGGTGCTTGGAGCTGAGGGGCAGGGCTGGGTGTGTCCTGTCTGTGTGCAGAATCCTATCAAATGCCCCAAATCCCAGGGGTAGGCAGGCACAGTGAGCTGTCTGCTGAGGTAGGCGTCCAGAACTGCCGCCGCCTTCCCTGCCCCTCAGAGGGGCAGCCCTTTTCCCTCAGTCCCCATGGGCCTCCTCAGCAGCAGGAGCTGTCCTTTTGTTGTTGGGTGCCAGGAAAGGGCCTCCAGCCTCTACAGCTTCAAAGAATGGGCACGGGGGAGGGTAGGAAAAGGGAGCTGTGTATCAAAAAGACTCCCCCTACCTTTTCTCCCTGACCCAGGGCTGGTGAGGAGTGGGGCCCCAAGGTGTGAGGGAACGGTGCTGCTTTATTTGAAATGTTTTCTTACCTCATTCCCTGCCCCAGGAAGGGGCTCAGCCTCACCCTCCTGGGGTGGCCCCATGTTCCTCCTGCCTACCCTGCCCCACTGGCCTTCCAGGGCAGCCCATGTTCCCAACTGCTGCTTGCCACCCCCCTCTTTCACCTTGACCAGCTTCAGTTCTTCTCAATGCTCCTGCCTCCAAAGCCTGCCCTGTTTCCCCTTCCTTAGCCGCTTTTAAGTTATTTATTCTGTACTTGTGGTTTGGGGCTCTGAGGAAAATCCTGTTTTTTTACCTCTTCCCCTTTGCCTAGGAGTGGGGTGGGAAGGGTAGTCTCTGTGCTCTGGGTTATCAGTGGAGGGGAAGGGGTATCATGTCTAGGCATTGCCCCTCTGTGGACTGCCATGCCAGTGTGCCCACCTGCCTGGTCTACATCCTGAAGAGATGTACCGTCCCACCTCCATACGGGCACTATCACTCCCAGGAGCTGAGCTGGAGGAATGCAGTCTGGGCTGGGAGTAGAGCTGACTGACACGGGTGGAGTTGACCCTAAGCCAAGTTCTCTGGCATTTGCTGGATGTGTCCCCTGCCCTCCTCCCAGGAGGAGTTATCCCACATTGGGTAGCTAGTACCCAGGACTTGTTGGACTGATTTGGGTTAGGGATCCTAGAGGGTTAAGGGAGCAACATAGATGGGGTTGTAGTACCCTGTCTGGAACCCCAACCTCCCCCTGGGGTGGTTCTACTTATGAGTGATGCCTGGTTACAAATTGGTTTTTAACCCAAGAATTGTGATTATTTTTTAAAAAGCCAAACAAATTTTGTCAGGAGTTAGAATAAATCCTGGGGCCTGGGCTCCTCTGTTCTTGACCCACAGTCTTCTCCCTCTAAGGGGAAGCCAGAGGTAAAGGAGGATTTCAGCCAGCCTCCAGCCTGCTTCCAAATGACGTCCTGGAAGTAGGTTGAAGGTGAAGGGAGGAGGGCCAGGGGCCATTCTCCCTTCTGAGAGGCAGCTGTGTAGTTCAGGCCCTAATGTACCCTTTTCCCTCTGGCCTCTCCCATTCCCCCCTTCTGGTTGGAGGAGGGAGAAGTGGGAAGTAGTTTGGGAACTGGTTTGTCCACATCCACTTCCCCATTGTTCCTTAGCCGGCCCTCAGGGCAGAGCCCCCTGCCCAAGCTGGGTAAGAGATGGGCTTGGTCCAACAGGGACCCTGAGAGAACAAATCCCTTTCCTTCCCAGGAGAGTATGCCCCCTACCATGTAGTTGAACAGGGGCTAAGAGCTCCCCACTTCCCTCCCTCTAACAGCAGGCTGTGTGGGTTTCAATTCCCATCCTTCCCACCCTGGCTAGGTGTCGTCCACCCTGTACCCTATCATGTGTCTGAGTGTGTGTGGGGGGGTTCTGTACTAATTTCCATGGCCGGTGGCTTTTCCTTCCATGCATCACTCCCCCCCGCATGCCCAGGGGCCACCCGCCTGGCATTACCGCATGCTGGGGTCATTGGGGGAGGGGGGTGGGGGCTCACGCTGTCCTGTGGTCTTGAGATTTTTATTTTTGCATATGTAATCCATCTTGTACAGGTAGCTAACTTTGTAAACGCTGTGTATTTCCCCTGCCCCCATGGCTGCTGGTGTAAATAAACTGCATCTCCCGTTGGTAGCCCGGCCTACCCACCCTCATTACCATGTTGCTGGGGGCACAGCAAAGCCATTCTCTTAATGTCACAGAAGGAGGCTCCACAGCCACAAAATGGAACTTTATTCAGTCACAGACACTGACCCTCCATCCAAGAGCCCAAGACAAGGGCCTGGGGCACAGTACTCCATACTCAGAGCTACTCCTTGGAGCTGGGCAGTGTAGGTCACTGGCTGAGAGCCAGAGCTGTTTCTTGCTTATAGCCTTAGGCCTAGGGTAGTAGCAGCAGCTGTGGCCTGGCCTCTCCCAATGCTGGGGGCTTGGCTTTGTGCCCCAATCCCCTTCCTGATGGAGCTCTATAAAGGACTATTAAAAAACAAAACAAAAAACACAAAGTGCTTTGAAAAAAGGGAGAACACCCTATTCCTGCTACGGGGTAGAGGGAGAAGGGAGAGGCAGCTAGGTGCCTACAGGACGAGCTGACACAACCTTCATTCCTGCCTGTGTGATTTTAATCTCAAAAGATGGATATTCCACTAAGGAATTGAAAGATACTCCAGGCTCCCTACAGAAGTATGCTGGGGCCATGCTAAGCTGTCCTGGCTGGTGGCCCTGGATGCTGAGGAACAAACATGCAGGACAATGGGAAGAGTTAGGGTCACAGCTAGGAAAAAGTCCTCAGAGCCCAGGCTCCCCACTAAGCTAGGCCACCAGCGTGGCTCTGAACTTCAGGACCCTAAAAGTGAAGGAAGATGACATCCTCGTTTCTACCTGAGTTGTGCTTGCACAGAGGGGATGTCTGTACCCTCGTGGATGTGGAGGCCCCATACCTGCCTCCTTTGTCCTATGGAAGAGGACCCACCATATCCTTCCCATCCCTCCCTCCCAGGCCCTTGGGCCCAGCTCTGGCCAGGAAAGGGGGGAGGCCATAGAGGAGGAAGACCATGCCTTTCATTTTCTCCCTATGTCCTTATCGTCCATACATCCCAAATACTAGGAAGCTGAAGAAGACAGTGACCCCAACCAGGGAGACAGTGGCAGGTGCTGTGAAGAACTGGCGGTAATTGATCCGGAAGTACCAGACCACACCCAACAGCACCACAAACACAGGCACCATGAGGCTGCCCACACTGACACGAAGGCTGGGGGGTTCAGTGGCTGAGGAGGTGAGGGAAGCTGAGGGGCCTGGAACAGCTGACCCTGGGGGTGAGCGGTGGCAGTGAATCACACAGTTGTTGGTAATGTTCAGAGAACGAAGTGTGCGGGCTGGGTCCTGCAGTAGGCGGCCCTGGTAGATCAGTTTCATCTGGCTCTCTTGTCCAGGGAAGTATTTACTGTTAGGATGAAAGAAAAGGAAAAACAGGGCAAGGAATGAGAAGACAAATAGGCCTGAACCAAAAAAGCAGGGCAATGGGGGTAAAATCTGAAGGATAGGTTTCAAAGAAATCTACCCATTCCTAATAGGGGCTGGACCAGACACTTTCCTGCTAGGGACATGGGGTAAGAACAGCCTCCCACTTTCCAGCTCACTCACCTCTTTAGTGTACCCACAGTATCTTCTGGCCTGGCCACGGCCAGCTCCTCGGTGTCATTGAGGAATTTGAGCCGCACATTGATGAGACCAGGAGTAGGAGGCAGGCAGGTGCTATCCTCAGATCTCAGAGGGGCTTCTGGACTGCTGCTCTCTGGGCCCACTTGTCTTTTGGGCAGGCCTTGGATGTCAAGCAGATGCTCAAGGCTGGGCTCAATACCACCTCCAGCTCCAGGCTCCCCTGTGGAGTCTCCCCCACCTTCTCCAGCCTCTTCAGCCTTCTCATCATTACCCTCTGATGGATGGGGGAGTTCAGTTGGTTCTGGGGTGCCTTGGCCTGCCACCAGATGGTCCACATGCCCCAGGTGGAGGACGGATGTGTCGCCAGCTGACACGATAGTGCCTAGGAGCTGGTTACTACTGCTGTCTGCTACGTAGGTAGAGAGCCAAGCTAGGACCAAGGCTAGAATCAGCACCACCACACCTACCACCACAGTCACCTCATTGCCCACACCCTCAATAAGGGTGACATCAGAGAGTTCCATGGCCTGGCTGCTGATGGGGTCCACACTGCAGGAACAAAGGGGGATAACATCAGCAAGGCCTGTGGGGTTGCAACCAGGTTTCTAGTTTGTTTAGGTTCTAACTAACCCAGCCCTGAAAGAAAATGTTGTCTTGTAGAAAGGGAAACAAATATTCCTAACTCTGAACCCCCAACCTAAAGCTAAGGACTTACCCTTTACCTCTATTGTGAAACTCTCAGGTTTCACACCCTTCCTCTCACAATCCAACCCCCTAATTGAGCATGGATCATCAGGAAAACCTTACAGCTTTGCTGCTGTTGTAATTGCTGCTTTTTTGCTAGGTGGGGAAAACATTTGCTTCTTTGAACCCTGAATTTCTCTAGGACTTCTATCACTTCATCAAGCAACTATGCCTCTTTGAAGAGCCTCCAAGGTGTCCTCAGAAAGACCAAAAAGCCTGTAATATTTTATTTTGGGGCCCCTTTGGAAGCACAGTGCAACCACTCTTGCCAGATTGTCTCATTTAAAACCCTATCTTACTCATGGTCATATATCTAGGTCCAGATGTCAAGAGTCAAAGAAAATTTATCATCCAAAGCAGAGTCATCTCCCCAAAAGGACAAAAGAGTCAGAAAACCCCAAAGGCTCTGTAGAGGTTATCAGCAGACACTATACAGCAGACACTGTGTCTGCCTCCTAAGAAACTCTTCTGGCAAGCTCTGGGGAGCAAAGTAGGACAGACACCAGACATACCACCCTCCTGGGTCACTATAGGCTCACGACTACAAAACCACTACGTGAGTGGAACAGATCTGGGAAATTCCCAACACAGCTGTAACAACCCATATCTCAGTCTCTTTGTACTGTGTAGGTCCTCCCTCAGCAGTTTCTTAGAAAGGCAAGGATCTGCTTGCTCCTCAGAGTACCTACTCTTTCCCTTGGAGAATCTGCTTCCACAGCTGTCCCAGGGCAAATCCAGTCTAATGATTATCATTACGAGACTATTCTCACAGCAACTATAAAACTCACTAGACACATCTAACTGTCCATCTCTCTGTACTAGACTCCTGCAATACAAAGATCACATGTATTGCCCTAGACGGTTTGGCTCAGTGGGTAGAGCACTGGCCTGTGGATTGAAGGTTCCGGGGTTCAGTTCCAGCCAAGGGCGCATACCTCAGTTGCAGGCTCAATTCCCGGCCCTGGTCAGGGCACGTGCGGGAGGCAACCAATCGATGTCTCTTTCTCTCTCTTCCACTCTCTGAAAAAGCAATGGAAAAAAGTATCCTCAGGTGAGAATTAAAAAGAAAAAAAAAAAAAAAAAAGGATCACATGTATTTCTCTATGTACTGTAGTGCTCAGCATGTCATAGTAGTTGCTCAATTTGTAGAACATATCAACATCTGACTAGGTTCCACATTCTTATTTAGTACATGGGCCCTGAAGTTAGGGGAAAAAACCACTAATTTGTAATCCTGGTCTTGCCTCTTACTAGCTCTGTAACTTTGAACTTTCTCAGAACCTCAGCTTTCTCAACAGTAAAGTGGGGTTAAAAACAGTACCTACCTGCCCTGGCTGGGTGGCTCAGTTGGTTGGAGCATCATCCCATATACCAAAAGGTTGTGGGTTCGATTCCTAGTCAGGGCACATACCTGGGCTGCAGGTTCCATCCCTTGTCAGAGCGTGTAGGGGAGGCAACCAATCGATGTTTCTCTCCCATGTTTCTTTCTCCTTCCCTTCCTCTCCCTCTAAAAATCAATAAAAACATCCTCAGGTGAGGATTAAAAAAAACAAAACTGATCCCATTATTGACCTGCAAAAAACAGTACCTACCTCATAGGGTTGTTTTAAAGATGACAGGAAATCATCGAAGCAAAATACTTAGCAGAGTGCCTGGTACGTTGCAATTGTTCAACAAATAAATGGTAGCAATTATTTATCACTTCCACAACTAACCCCTGATGGTAAGAAGGTTAATGTTATTAACCCCAATTTACAGAAAAGGAAACTGGCGAACAGAGGCGAAAAAGACAGGCACAGACATAGGGAACTTTCGTGGGCAGGGGGCCCAGCAAGACCCCAGGTCTCCCGCCTCCGAGGCCTTCGCCCTCTCCTCAGCCTGTAAGCGACCCTGACCGGGCGGTAAGGGGGCGTCCCCTGCCTTTTCTGAAGCGAAGGCTCCGCGTTTGGGCGGTCCTATTCTCGCGGCAGTGGAGAGGGGTCCGTGGGCCCCCCCCGCCGGGCTGAAAGGTTGGCTGGTCCCAGCTGCCGAGCCCAAGCCCACGTCTCCTAGCCGGTCAGGGGTAGACTCGGGTGAGTGGGTCACAAACCATCCACACCCCTCAAGCTTCGGGGCGGGGCCGGGGGCTG